ACAAAAAAATAGAGTTTGAAATCAGAGAAAAAATCAGCCAGAAAAAAATTAAGTCCCAAGTTTTGCGAGTTGTAACTGACTTATTTCTTGGCCAATTTCATTCTATCTTCACATAGTTAGGGAAATATATGCATTCTCCAAGATGTAAGTTGGGAGAACTTACATCTTGGAGAACTTACGGGAGACTATGGAGTTGGGCTCTGATGTCGGCCAGGTCTGGAGTGGCCTCACCAGGGCATATATTTATATACGCCCTGGTGAGCGTATATATTTATATACGCCCAATATTTACAATATTGTAAAGGTTACAATAAAATCAGATAATAAACAAAGGAGAAAAAAACTAAATTCTTAAAAAAAAAAAAATTCCCCCTGAAAAAATATTTTTGGGACATAGATGAAAGTAACATATTAACATAGGACAATGTTTTTATATGATATATCACAAAATAGAGCATAATAAAATAGTTACTCATTATGTATTACAGGGGTACCTCGGTTTAAGAGTTTAATCCGTTCCTGGAGACAGCTCGTATTCCGAAAACTCGTATTCTGAAGCTAATTTCCCCATAAGAAATAATGGGAAATAAATTAATCCGTTCCTGACTACCCCAAAAACCCCACATCAAACTAAATTTTTATACCTAATTCATCTAAATAAACCTACAAAACTATGTCCAAGTTATTACTTACCCTTGCTGAGGACTGCTGTTGGTGTATGGAAGATGTGAGGAGGAGGGAGGAGGAGAGGTGTTACTGTTTGGAAGGGGAGTCTCCTTCCATTATAACATCAGGCAGTGAGGACTTCACTGGTATGCACACTCTGGCACATTTTGCCTGCATACCACTAGGACTTGCTTGTTTTACTAAGAATCTGTCTAAAGACACTTGTTTTTCCCTACATTTTAACACTTGTCTGTAGTAAGACATCACATTGTCATTTAAAAGGTCAATGCAACGGCCTGCTACAGCTTTATCTGGGTAAGTTTTTTCAACAAAACTTTGCAGTTCTTCCCATACTTCACACATTTTCTTAATCAAGAAGGGACATCCTCTACTGCCTCTACTCACAGCCATTGTCTTAGGTTGAACCTTACCAATGGCTTTCTTGAGACCCATGGTGAGATATATAATGACAACTTTTATGCTCAAATGGCCAAAAAAAACGACAAAAAACTGTAAATCCTTGTGAAGAATTTAGGTGGGATAGTCACTGGGCACGAGACACTGGTAAACTGAGGCGTGATCGCCATGCCACCATGCTCTAGTCGGCCTGTACACGTATCAACAAACTCGTGTTCCGAGGTAACCCTCGCCTTCTGAGGCACAATTTCAGAGCAAATCCTGCTCGTATTCTGAAAAGCTCGTATTCAGGGACACTCGTATTTCGAGGTACCACTGTACTCAGCAATTATATAAAGGCACCAACTGCATATTCACTTTGTGGACACGTCTTACTACTATTCTTCTTCTTTGAGCATCGGACAGGTGCTTGCATCTCTCTATTACTGCACTATCCTACAATTCCAGTTATTAGGAGCTGTTCTCCTTATCATCAAAACGTTTTTATTTTTAAAAAATTCGTCTAAAATCAATTTCTGAAAATATTTTGATGAACGTTTCACGACACTGAAGCCAATAAGCTGGAGATTTGTTTAACATTTTGAAGTTATTTTTACATAATTCAAATATTTTTCGCTCTAACCTTCTTAACAAATGTGATCTGACTTTAGCTTTGACCCTGTTGCTTTTTCCTACCCCCTTTTCTTATTCTTACCTCCCTCTTATTCTTAACTCCCTCTTATTCTTACCTCCCTCTTATTCTTACCTCCCTCTTATTCTTAACTCCCTCTTATTCTTACCTCCCTCTTATTCTTACCTCCCTCTTATTCTTACCTCCCTCTTATTCTTACCTCCCTCTTATTCTTACCTCCCTCTTATTCTTAACTCCCTCTTATTCTTACCTCCCTCTTATTCTTACCTCCCTCTTATTCTTACCTCCCTCTTATTCTTACCTCCCTCTTATTCTTCCCTCTCTCTTATTCTTACCTCTCTCTTATCCTTACCTCTCTCTTATCCTTACCTCTCTCTTATCCTTACCTCTCTCTTATCCTTACCTCTCTCTTATTCCTACCTCTCTCTTATTCCTACCTCTCTTATTCCTACCTCTCTCTTATTCCTACCTCTCTCTCTTATTCTTACCTCTCTTATTCCTACCTCTCTCTTATTCTTACCTCTCTCTTATTCTTACCTCTCTTATTCTTACCTCTCTTATTCCTACCTCTCTCTTATTCCTACCTCTCTCTCTTATTCTTACCTCTCTTATTCCTACCTCTCTCTTATTCTTACCTCTCTCTTATTCTTACCTCTCTTATTCTTACCTCTCTTATTCCTACCTCTCTCTTATTCCTACCTCTCTCTCTTATTCTTACCTCTCTTATTCCTACCTCTCTCTTATTCTTACCCCTCTCTTATTCTTACCTCCCTCTTATTCTTAACTCCCTCTTATTCTTACCTCCCTCTTATTCTTACCTCCCTCTTATTCTTACCTCCCTCTTATTCTTACCTCCCTCTTATTCTTCCCTCCCTCTTATTCTTACCTCTCTCTTATCCTTACCTCTCTCTTATCCTTACCTCTCTCTTATCCTTACCTCTCTCTTATCCTTACCTCTCTCTTATTCTTACCTCTCTCTTATTCCTACCTCTCTCTTATTCCTACCTCTCTTATTCCTACCTCTCTCTTATTCCTACCTCTCTCTCTTATTCTTACCTCTCTTATTCCTACCTCTCTCTTATTCTTACCTCTCTCTTATTCTTACCTCTCTTATTCTTACCTCTCTTATTCCTACCTCTCTCTTATTCCTACCTCTCTCTCTTATTCTTACCTCTCTTATTCCTACCTCTCTCTTATTCTTACCTCTCTCTTATTCTTACCTCTCTTATTCTTACCTCTCTTATTCCTACCTCTCTCTTATTCCTACCTCTCTCTCTTATTCTTACCTCTCTTATTCCTACCTCTCTCTTATTCTTACCCCTCTCTTATTCTTACCTCCCTCTTATTCTTACCTCCCTCTTATTCTTACCTTCCTCCTATTCTTACCTTCCTCAGGAGACTGCTGACATGGATGAAACATTTTTTGACAAGACGAGAGTGATAATTAGAGGCAATGTATCTGACTGGAGGAGTGTTACTAGCGGAGTACCACAGGGTTCAGTTTTTGCACCAGTAATGTTCATCGTCTACATAAATGAGCTACCAGAAGGAATACATAATTATGTGAGCATGTTTCCTGATGATGCTAAGCTCATAGGGAAGATAGGAAACATAGTCAGTTGTCATGCCTTACAAATTGATCTAGATAAAATAAGTGCTTTGAGCACCATGTGGCAAATGGAATTCATTATGAATAAATGCCATGTTATAAAATATGGAATTGGTAAAAATATACCACAGACAACTTATAAATTATGTGGAAAGGAATTAAACAATTCTAACAGAGATCTAGGGGTGGTTCTAGATAGTAGAATGTCACCAGAGGAGCAAACAAAGGATATTGTGTGAAGAGCATATGCTGTACTTTCCAACTTCAGAATTGTTTTTAATTATATGGATGGTAAAATACTAAAGAAATTGTTCATGACTTTTGTGCGACTAAAATTGGAATATGCAGCAGTTGTATGGTTCCCAAATCTTAAGAAGCACATCAGTAAACCGGAAAAGGTGCAAAGGCATGCTACAAAATGCCTTCCAGACTTGAAAAACAAGAGTTATGAAGAGGCTAGAGGTGTTAAATATGCCAAAGCTAGAATATAGAAGAAAAAGAGGTGATATGATCACCACTTACAAATTTATAATGGGAATTGACCATATTGACAGGAATTCCTGAAACTGACAACCTTAAGAACAAGAGGTTATCAATTAAAGCTTAGGAAACAAATGTGCCAAAAAATTATTAGAAAGTTTTCTTTTGCAAACAGAGTGGTAGATGGTTGGAACAAGTTACGTGAGAAAGTAGTGGAGGCCAAAACAGTTAGTAGTTTCAAAGCGTTATATAACAGAGTACTGTACTGTACAGGGAAGGCGGAACACCACGATCGTAGCTTTCATCCTGTAACTACACTTCGGTAATTATACAGGTAATTACACAAAACACTGCAGATAGAAAAACAAAATAGCATTCATCACATTGTCACTATAACATGATGAACACTACTGTACAGTATTTTGTGGTATTTTTTCTAAAATGAGACTCCGACTTGCACATGATTGACTGATCTCGTACATGATAGTGCAGCTCTGTGCGTAATGCTGCCAATGACAATTGCATAAAGTTAGAATAAAAATATCATTAGTTATTGTGTCCTTCATTTTCTGAACTTCTCGCTGTTTTAGTAGATGTAAGACAATTTATATATAATTCTTTTTAGACAGACCCCCCCCCCCAAAAAAAAGGAGGACAATAATGTCCCATCTTAAAGTGATGCAGGAGGAAGAACAGTGTGCTCCAAAGTAGGCTTGTCCTTTCTAAACCAGAATGTCTGGCCACCATGTATATACTTCATTCACTCACCCACATGTACACACACACTTCCAACTCCTTATATTTCTTCTAATTTTTATGATACATAATTTTTTAAATATAGTATCTTGTATTGACAAACCTATTCCATTTTGCTCTATGCCCTTTGAACTGTATTAGCATTTATGGGTTTCACAAACGTATCTCCTGTGAATAGCTAGCTTTATTCTTGTGAACCTGGTGAATTAAACCTTATTTGTTCAGTCTTCCAGCTGTCCTACTCACTAGTAAACTCTGAAAAATTACTGGTTGTAAACCCCAAAAATTATTTTTTAAATTTTCAATGTAATATGCATTTGATCAACTTGAAAATATGCTTATGGAACTCCAGTATTACATTCTCTGAAGAAGGTGATGTGCAGTGTATAAGATACTTTAATTATACTTTATTTAGTTGAATTTAATGTGTTGTCCTTTCAGGTGGTGGAGCTCCTGAATACAGCTGCTTTTCTACCATCTGAGAAGGAGAAGATTGCAAACCTTGCTAAGGTTCAAGAACTCATTATTCACCATAACCCTCAGCTCTTGGATTCATTCTTTGAGGAAGTTGCTGCTTTTCAAAATGATAGGAACTCGGATGTTCGGAAATTTGTGGTCGGATTTATTGAAGAGGCTTGGTAGGTGTGAAAGGTGGTTTTATAGGGCTGAAGGTATGCATGATGATGAATAAAATACTGTAAATGATGATGGATATACTGTATGTGCATTGTCATGTAAATTGATGCTTTTCTGAATAATTACATATTTATGTACTCATGCACTCATTCCTCATGCACTCACACATGCATGTATGCTACTTATTTCACATGCAAACACATGCCACTTGCAAACACACATCACATTTGGATTGTACCTGAATGGGGTTCTTGGAGTTCTTCCCAGGGCCAGGCTTGTCGTGTGAGAGGTTTGTCCATCGGACTTCATTATTCCCAGATCCTTTACATGTTGCTTTCCTACTATGGGCAAAGTTGGTGGTGTTTTGTACCCCATATTTTGTTTAAGGTCTTCATTTTTACCATACCTAAGTACCTGGAATTTATCACTGTTAAACTGCATGTTATTTTCTGCTGCCCAGTTGAAAACTTTATTAATATCAGCTTGTAATTTTTTCAATGTCTTTTACAGAAATAATTTTCATGCTGATTTTTCTGTCATCTGCAAAAGATGACATGAAGCTGCGACTTGTATTTTTGTCTATATCTGATATGAGAATAAGAAAAAGTAGTGGTGCAAGATACAGAGCTTTTCACTGTGCTTGGACTCGATTCTATTTGACTGGTATTTGTTGTATGCTGTTTGACAGAAAATGTAATATCCATCACCCCTACTTTACCTGTTATTCCTATTGACCTCATTGTGGGCTGTCACTTCATGGTCACATTTATCAAATACCTTTGCAAAGTCCATGAATATCACATCTACATTCTGTTTTTCTGATAATGAATCGGTAATTTTGTCATAGCGGTCAAGTAGCTGTGATGAGTCACAATAATGATGGCTGAAGATATGACGACCAAACCACACAAGTGAAAATGGAGAAATGATGTTTCAGCCCATCCAGGACCATTATCAACCTGACTTGATAATAGTCCTGGACGGACCAAAATGATGATGTTTCTCCACTTTCTGGTGTGCGGTTTGGTCATCATTATCTGCCTGCTCTAAATCCATGTTGTCCTGGGTTGTTTAGGTCATTGATCTTAATAAAACTGGAGATCTGACTCTTGATCACTCTCAAAACCTTTTGTTACGTGGGACATTAATGCAACTGATCTGTAATTCTTGGCCAATATGTTCCTTTCTGCCTTGTGTAGAGGAGCTATATCTGCTGATTAAAGCATTTCTGTTATCTTCCCAGTGTCCAAAATTTTTCTCTACACTATATCTAGTGCTTGTGCTACTGGCATTTTGCATTTCTTTATTAATATTGAATTCCATGAGTCTGGACTCGGGGCTGAGTGCACATACGTGCTGTCGATTCCTCTTTCAATGTCTGCAGAATTCGTTTTGGTATCAGTTATATTTTCTAGGGTTTAGATATTATGCATAAAGAAGCTGTCCTGATCTTCGACTTTCATGCTGTTTATTGGGGGTGGTAAACATGTCTTTGTACTGCCTTTTTCTAGGATTTCACTAATTTGTTTGTTGTTCTCTGTGTATGGTCCTTTGCTTGTAAGAATAGGTCCAATACTGACATGTTTTTTAATTTGATTTTGTATATGTGAAGAGATATTTTGCATTTTTTTTTTTATCTTGTATGGGTTTGTTGTAATTGCATTTCTTCAGTCTGATGTGATTGCTCTAGTCTAAGTGCTATTTATTCGACCTCCCTTTTTAAGTTATTCTTTGTAGAGACAGTTGTGCCTGCTTAAGTATGTCATTTTTGTCCTTTTAGTATAGTGCCATCTGTGTTCTCTTTCTACACTGGTCCTCTTTCTGCCTTTATACGAAGGACCATATTTCAGGCAGGCAGACTTTATATGCTTTGGAAGTCAGTTTTTCTGTTCCTTGCATGTGATTTTTATTACTTGGTTTTTACTTATGTTATTACTTAGTTTCCCACTGAATGTTTTTAAGTTCCATACAGTATTTATTTTTTTCCCAGTCTGTCATTTTATTATTAAAATTTAATTTGTTGAATAACCCCTCTCGCTTGATAATTTTTTAGCCTTATTATGAGTATTAATCTTAGTTTGCACTTCAATGAGCTGATGATCTGGTTATGTGGTATCTGAGGTTGTAATGTCTCTGACTATATTCTTATTTCTGGGGGGAGCCCCGTCGGCTCCCCGGAGCTATCCCAGGCTGATATGCTAATGTCAGACTTTGGCATCAGTCATGTGTATGGAGTTCTTAGGCCTACCGGGGACCACGGCCAGAACCGGGCCCCCTCAGAGAGGCAAGGGGAGCAATGGCCTATAGAAGCCCCCGTGTAGTTGGAAGCATTTTATGTCTGCCATCGACCGGAACAGGCACCCAGAAAGGTAAGCGCCCCAAACAAACCCCTATTCTGGTTAAAATTGCTACCAAAAACCGAACTAGTGGATAGAACTCCCCAACCAAAACAAGCAAACTAGTGTGATGTCACACACTGCCGCGCCGCTGTCTGCGCAGCTCCCCCCTCCCCGGGAGGGGGAAGGGGGAGCCCCAGACCCCCCGCGCCGGCTATTCACACCTCAGTTCTTGAGGCTGATGCTATAGGCGATGGTCGTGTGCTCTGGCTCCGGTGTCACTACTGCACTGTGCTTTGCGTGTGGTGTTAGTTTTATGGGTGCGAGAGCCAGGAGTTATCTTCAGTACTAGGGCTGCATGCGCCTAGGGCTGCCTTCCCTAGGTGCCCTGTAAGTACTGCCCTTGGGGCTTGGGGCCACCTTCCACAGGCTCCTCGGGGTCTGCCTCTGCTGGTCCGTTTTACCTTTCGGTTTTTCGGCCGCCTGTTGGGCTCTTGGGTGTTCTGTTCTCCCTTGTTACCGGCAGGTAAGAGGCAGTTTGCACTGGTAGGGGCGCAGGGTGCTGCTCAGCTTGTATTTCCCGACATCGCGGCCGGCTCTGTTCCTTGGGGTTCGCTGTCCTCTTGCGGGTTTTGTTTTTTTTTTGTTTTTGCCTGGTGGGGGGTTCTGTCATTTTATTCAGTTTGTTTTTGCCCTTCCACTGTTCTCCTCGGTGGCGCCCCCTGCTAGGCCCCCGTGAGTGTACACGTCCCTGGGGTTCAGCTTTAGAAGTTTGCTTGGTAGTTTTGGGCGCCGGTTTGCAGCACCCTGCCTGGGACTACCTGAGCGCGAGTCCTCTTAAAGTAAACGCTCAGGACCCTGGAAATCCCCTAGGGGGCGCGTGGGTCCGATGGATGTGACCCCGGAGTCCCCACTCGCTGTGTGCGAGTTTGAGGGTTGCTCGGTCCCCTTGTCTCAGGGTGACCCTCATTGTTTTTGCCTCTGCCACGCTGCCTGTTGGGTCGGTGATACTTTCGACCCTGAGTCCTGTGAGTGTTGCTGCTTGCTTGTGACTCAATTTACCCAATCCTCTGATGATTCTATTCGGGTACAGGCGGCACGCGCGTTGCAGTCTAGGTTTCGTCTGTTGCAACGCGCTCAGTTGGTTGCTTCCCCGGATGCCCCGGGGCTGCCCCGCTTTGCTTTTTGAGACCCGGACTTGACGGTGGGGGTCGCTTCGATCCTGGTTCAGTCCGCACCTCCTCGTCCTTCCCCTTCTGTTCGTTCTGGTCCCCCGCCCCTGCTTCCGGCCCTGAAGCGTCTTGAGGGTTTCGGGGTCGGAGCAGGGGTTACTTGATCTCGAGACTCGGGCAGCTTCGGGGGTTGCCCCTTCCGGGGGGGCGGCAGAGGCATTCGAGTCTTGTCTCCCGGCCGAAGCTTCAGGGTCTGACCAGTGGGCCCCCCTTCCTCCAGCTTTTCCGGCTGCTCCGTCCTTGTCTTGTGGGGTCGGGGCTTGGGGAGAGGACTCGGCCTCGGGTCCTGTGGTGACGGACCTCGAGGCTGGGGAGGGGCTGACTTGGGGGCCTTGGGCCCCGCTGGACCCCGCCTGGGTTTTTCTTCCCACTGAGCGGGGCTTATTGTTACAAGGAGTGGGGTTTTCTTTTCCCCCCTCTGCGTACGAGTTGGATTTGGTGTCAGCCCCTCCCCGGGTACGGTTCCGTGTTCCCCCGGGTACGTCGGTTCCGTCCTTCCGGAGGTTTTCGGCTTATCGCATCCAACCTGGTGTGGTGCGAGCGGCCTTTGCAGCTTACCTCCTGCGTGACCCGGATTATGCCTCGGAAATGGATCCGTCCACGTTCAGGTTTGGGACTTCGTTCCCTTTCTGGCTCCGTTACGAGGTTCCGGAGTCGTCCTGGCTAGCAGACTGCCCCTTGTTTGGTCTGGATTCCTGGCATTCCTTCTGTCGTTCCCGCACGCTGGAGTGGCGGGAAGCTTCCACGGTGCTTCAGGTTTTCCTGGGGGGCGAACTTGAGTACCTGAATGAGTGCTTGTTTGCCCCTGCCCTTCCCCGCGATGTGGGCGTTATTCAGCTCCATGTGCAGGTTCCCTCCCTTTCGGCGGCGCTCGTTGCGGAGGACTTGCGCGCCCGGGGCCTTTTGTGTTCGGCCTTGCGGTTCTTTTCCCTCCTGGAGCTGTCTTCGGATTGGCTCATGGAGGATGTGGGGACGCTTGGGTCCGTCCCGGGGTCCGGCACCTTGTCCTTGGCTGCGCGTTCGTCGGCTGCCTTGTTGAAGCTGTTCACGCCGATTTTGCGGGATGCGGTTTCCCTGTTCTATGCTTTCCGTCTCGCGTGTCGGCAGGCGGTGCTGTGGGACATTTGGGGCTTGACTCTAATTATTTAAATATTAATATAGTAAAATTAATTACGAAGGACCACCCACTTTTATAGTAAAAGAGGGAAACTGAGAAAATGTGATCATTAGAACATTCTAGATGAACCAGTAACTATGGATAAAATACTAGAGAATATGATCATTGAAATATTTAATGGGCTGTATAATTAAATGAATCAAAGCCTCAAAAACCTACATTGGGGGGGTATTACTGGAACTCAGTACGTCCAGGAACTAGTGTGGTTCGTTCACTAATCCAATGTATAATAATTTAATCCTATGAATACTTATGAA